GGTACGTAAGTCTGCAAAAGGAGTACTGTGTTCAGCAACAGGGGCCAAACCATCAGATCGTATTTGATTTGCTAGCTGAATATATTTTTTGAGCTTTCACTTCTCTAAGCCCTGGTGGCCTCTTTCTGATATATGCACAAAAATGACTATAGCTGGGTATTAAAACCATTGGACCGAAATGGCCTCGTTTCCCCTTGCCTCTCCCACTCTAGTCTCACTCAATTCCATTTTTTCTACAGAATAAATGGTGTTGCTAGAATGAACTATAGAGTTCAAGCTAAATTGGAAACTATAGAGTTGGATTGGATATATAATCCAATATCCTATCTCTAACAATAGTCATTTCTGTATACCTCTTACTCCTGTGCCATACTGTTACAGAATAAAATGTTATGTTTCTTTCTCACTTGAGGCTGTTATCAGTTGATTTATGTCCAAAATTCTTAGCTGACACAGGGCCAAGACACAGTTGATCAACATGCCTCCAAAGCTATTTTCAAATTCCCTATAACTTTTTCATTTAGAAAAGAGAAGACTAGCCAATATGATTGTGAAGGAAACCTCGAAAATTTGAATTGAGTGTAACTAAAACAATAGTTCTGACAAATATGAAGTGTGCCCTTCATCGGCTACTTCACTACTCAAGTGATTAAAATTATGCATATGCTAAGTGCTTTGCTGGATTAGGGTCTTGGACACTTAAATTATATTAAAATAAGTAATATATAAATTGCAGTTTAGAACTTCCATTAGTTCCTCCACTGAAAAATTCACAAGTTACAGTGGTGTGAGTGAGCGAGACAAAGTTATAGCCCCTTTTCCATATTTATATATAAACGCAGACAAAAAATATGTGCTCAATCCATGTCTGTCATCAGTTGTGCTTCTTACATGTGTACCAAACTATGCATTTGGATACTTTGCTCAAATGCACTCAAAAATCATATAAAACAACCTAACCTTTTCAAAAAGTTACCCCCATCAGAACCCTGTAAAATAGAATTTTGTTCTTGTATTTGGCATTAGAAATGTAAAGCTAAAGAGATGGCAGTTTGACACATTCAGCAACTGTATTGAAAATGGTTTCTTACAGGAAATAATGTCTTTCTCCAGAAATCATTAAAATGAAATTTTTGACTTGTCTTGGGATCTTTGAAGCTATGGAAAGGCAGACTTGCATAGTTCTTTGCCTGTTAGGTATATCTGCATGCTGACCTGCCTTCCAGGCAGACCAGAATAAGTGCCTGACTGAAAGGCGCCATACAAAGGCTTATAACTTACTTTCCAGGCAGACATGAACAGGTACTTGTCTAGGAGACATCCCCTTGTTGATGACCTGCCTCCAAGGCAGATCTATCTAGTTATCTTTCTGTCTTTGAAATAGCTCCGCACAGAGTTGCAATCCTGGCAGACTGAACTGTTACCTGTCTGGGAGGTACTTGGGTTGATAAGCTACCTATTAGACAATCCTGAACAATTATTTACCTAAAATATACCATTTTTTCTGAAAAGGCAGCACCTACAATTTGGATTGTAGACTATATTTTTAGTGTTAGGGCTAATTTACTATATCTGATTTTCAGTTAGTTATAAATGCTTTTCTTTTTAGTTCATATTAATAAACATAATACTAAATGCATGTGAACACATTTCTATATCAGTAACATTTGTTTAGTACTTGTATAAGCAAGTACTAAACAAATGCACAGCAATGGGAGTTACTGTGCAGTAGTTCTGGTGAATGCTTTTTAAATGACGCTACTGTGCAATAACCTAATACTACTGCTCAGTAGTGTCTTGGCACTGTTTTGGCCACGCAGCACTACTGCGCAGTAGTATCAGGCTACTGTGCAGTTAGTGTCTTATGTAGATGCACCTAGTGCTAACTGCTACTGTGCATTTTTTAAAATGTGCATGCTGCATCCTCCTTCAGTTGGAGAAATCAATGTCAAAGTAATGTATCTTCTGCCTGGAGTGGAAGGTGGTCATATCCATATTTGGTTCTTAGTTCTCAGGCAAGAATAATTCCACAATCTAGTATCAATGCCTAGGAAAGCTCTCTCTTGCACATATGGGTTTTAACCTTATTGTAGAAATTTCCACTGTGTGTCTGAGGAGTGGGAATTAGGAAAATGAAATGCTGGTTTGCCACCCAGAATTGGAGATACGCTATATTTTTCCTCCTCAGCTTGCTTGTTTTGACTTTTTTCACCCTATCTTTTATTCTAGCGTATAATTACAATTGAGGACATTTGAGTTTAGTAGTGGCTATTTTATGAACAAAAAAAAGAAGCATATTTGTCAGACAGGTTATTCTTTGTGTATTAGCTGAGTGAAGCAGGGACTAGGCTTAGTGGAGGTGCGGCCAGGTACTGCTACAGCAATAATGATTCATTCCATTCTGGAGCTGACAAAATTCAGTGTTAAATTGCCACAAATGACAAAGTCAGTTTCTTCTGTATAAATTTGTTAGTATCATTTGCAAAGCTAACTGGCATGGCATGCTCCAGAGGCAGCAGCATTCTATATCTTCACTATGGCTTTGTCCCGGCAAAGAGCAAATACAACAGCACATTTGCTGGACTCCAACTGGAATCATGGGAAATAATCACATGTGCCCATTTCACAGGCGAGTGGATCTTAGCAGAGGTTCTTGATAATACAAGAGACTAACAAACTAGGGTAGCTTTTGATTTGCAAAATGAAAACCTGGAAATTATTTGAATCCCACTCCTGCTGTCTCTAAACTATAGAAATGATCCTAATAAAATGCCTTTCTTTTGCCTCTCTCTATTATACGCAGGGTGCATCTACACATACAATTAATTCAAAGCAATAAACTCTGGAGGAGTTTGAGCTGGAGTAAACTACTACTGGGCACAGCTTCTACGCATGTTTCCAGGACAGCAATTTGAACCAGGGTGGAGCAGTTTACATTACAGCTGGGGTGATGGGGGCAGTCAGCCCTGGGTGGCAGTGTCAGGTGGTGGAAGGGCTGGCTGGGGCACAAGGGTATTGAAAGTGCAGAGCTGTGTGGCTAGACAGCAGGCAGGAGTCTGATCCCCTGCTGGCTGGGCTGACCAGGTGCAATTTACGTCCACAGCCAGTGTGTACACTTGCGTTTACTTGCAGTTAATTATCTCAGTGGTGCTATCTTACAATGGGGTTATTTAGTTTACTGTGGCCTACTAGTGTTGCATGAATAGACTGTGATGCTTTACCCTGCAGCTAATTAGTCTACTCTGCAGTTAAGTGCACATGTAGATGCGGTCACCGTGTATCAGTCCAAAAAATTAAACTTCAGAAGTAATGAGCCCAAATAGTGTTTAATCATTTCAGATCATTTGTTGAAGGAACAGGAGAGTGAGTTAAGAAAAAAAATCCAAGATGCCTAGGAAACTGCTAACTACATGATTACAGAAAAGTTTTTGGTGATCGGTGTTTATTGACTTAGTATCTCATTCTAACTTCAAACATGTAACTAACTGCTCACATCTTAGAGAATCTCTTCCTGTGGTCCTGAACATGTTATGGGGAGGCTATTTTCTGAAAACATACCAAATGTTAGAATTTGCCCCTTTAATATATATCAGAAAAACAGTAGGTGTACTTTAAAAATGACTCTATATTGGCCAAAAACCAGAATGGGTAAATAGGCTGGGGCAGGACTGTTCAACTGGTGTCCTGAAATGGTGTATTTTGTGACTTCCAGGCTTCCGCTTGGGTGCTGCTCCCCATGCTACAGGTACTGCTCCTGCTGGGGTCCCTGTGCTCCCCCTTCCTCCTCCAAGTTCTGCTTCCCATGTCTGCCTGTAGGGGTGGGCAGGGCAGCATGGCTGCAGGGCCCAGGCAGCCCATGTCTTGGGGAACCTGGAGCCTTCATGCAGCAAGGGGGCATGCAGTAGGAAATGGGGTACCAACAATGTTGTGGGGGACCCTGGCTGCTCTGAAGTTGGACAGCCCTGGGATATCAACTTTATGCCACTTCATAATTCCCCCAAGTTTGGGCAACCCTCTTCCACCACTGTAGAGCTAGTTTGTTGCCTTTGCAAGAACTGAACCTCTGGTTCAATTTGCATCCTAGATATATCTTAAATTGTTTTACATGATGGTTCTGTATTAGCTTGTATGGAGCAAAAAAGGCTCATTTAGTTTTATTCTCTATGTTGATTCAGGGCTAGTAGGTTAGAGGGAATAAATCATGCATTACAGTTTAGGTGTGGACTGCATGTACAATCTTTTGGTCTTTTTGTGGGCATTTCTTTTAGATGACAGGTTCGCCTGGATCTACCCTTTTCTCAGAATGAAATCCTTTAATTCCCCCCACCTGGATCACTGGGCAAAATGACCCCCTGTTTAGCAACTATATATAATTCCAGGATGTCCAACTAGGTTGGGTCTGGCTATGTAATTCTTTCCAGGTGGTGTAACCTGCTGATAACACACAGTGATGGAGAAGACCTAATTTAAAGCAGTATCATTTCTTTATCCAGAGGAACTTTATAAGCAGAGGGAAATGGATTAAAAATTGTATTAAAAATATGTGCATTTTACCCCACCTCATCCTGCCTTACCTATTTAGTAGGTTCTACTCATTCCAATAACCTCTTCAGCCTGCATCTCTGACACCTCCTCTCTCAATTCAACCTATTTCCTAGACCTTTGACCAGCTTCCTTTCCATCTCAAAATGCGTTGTCTACAGGGGGGCCTGAACTGGATCCAAATTGCTTTATGTATGTTTGCCAGGCTTTGAGTTTAAAGCAGGTAAGATTTGCTTTGGGCTTGAAAGCAGCAGGCTGCCTGCTTTGTTCTTTCATTATCAGTAGATGGATGGTAATTAGAAGTTAGTCTGCTCTTCTGGTCTGTGCACTTGTTAGCATCTGCTGGAAATTATCCCTGGTGATTACAAAATCCACAGCACAATAGCAAACAAATGTGGACATGTAATTTTCAGCAAAATAATCCTGTTTTTTTTTCTCCTGATTTACCATAGACTGCAAGGAGCATCCCCTTCCTCTTGCATGTCCTGAGCAAGTATTTTCACTGTTGCAGTCCCTACATTCTTCAAACTGCAGCCTGGGCTCCCTTAGTGCATGTCCAGAACTACATGCCTCCTTAAAGAGGTAAGATATGGCCCTTGCTCTCTTTGAAGGTAGCAACAGACTGACGATCTCCAGGAAGATGTCCTCTCAGCATGGGCAATGTCTAAATGTCAATACTGCAAAATACCCTAAGTTAATTGCTTTAAGTGACTTCAAGGACACTACTGATTTTTAAATAAGGTCTACATACAGGAGTATGGATCAAACTCATGAGATTGTAAAATTACTGTTTTAGAGATTTTTAGAGTTGCTTAGGCTATTTGGATGCCCAATTCCCAAAACCTTAAGCAGAAATAACAACAATAATTAAAAGCAGGGAGCTAAATTTGTGGTATACCTGGGCAAGGAGGTAGGGTTGCCCAGTCTATATGCCCCGTGTGCCATGCCCCTCTCCCCACCCCTTCCCTAGCCCCAGCCTCACTCCCTCCTCCCACGCTGGTGAGGGAGGGAGGAATGCATCCCTATCTGTTTAATTGTAAACTGGGTTCACTTTATGCGAATTCGATTGATGTGCCGTTCCCTGGGAATGCATCTACTGCATAAATCCAGGGAAACCGGTACTATAATATGGCTGTTAGGTGAGGGATGGACAAATGTGATCCCAGCTGGACAAAGGTGTGTCTGTGAGAGCTCCTGTGCAGATGCAGTCATGCCAGCAAAAACTTCTCCTTTACATGCATGGCTCATTTTACTTTGGGGCGATTTTATTCCATGACCCCCAGCTTTGTCAGTATAGGTTCATCCCCACTGTTTCAGTCTAGTGTGCTGATAATGCTTTCCTAGCATGGGCATAGCCTCAGAGGGAAATTTGACTGAGAATTTCAGTCTGAGCTCTGCAGCATAAATATTAAAAATTGTCAGTCATCCTCAATGTATTTTCTTAGGAGAATCATTTTCACTTCCAGAAGGATTAGGATTTATTTTACTTCTAAAATATAGACACAAGTTTTGAAAACTGTTAGGTACAGATTACATATTTTGGGAGTTAAGATGGGAAAGGCTGGAATATTCTTTTTACCAATTACATTAGAACACTGTGTTTGGTAAAGGAATAAAAATGTATGCTCCACAAGATGGCAGTAAGTTCCTGCTCTTAAAAATAAGTTTAACTTTATTTTAACCTTGTTCTAAGTAAAATAGTTCATCAGTAGAATTTCTTCTGAGCAAAGATTACATTTTCCCTCAACAGCTAAACTGGAGAATCGTTTTTGCTATTTTCTTTTTTTTAAATAAGGCCAGTAAAAAAAAAGAATCCCAAAACAATGGTGTAAACTTTAGTTTTTCAAGTGGCAAACAACTGATATTTTCTTAGTTCATTCTTTTTGTACTGCAAGTATTCAGGTGCTATACAGAGAGTATTATTGAAATTTCATGCAATCATCAAAAACTAGCTGCCTGATTATATTCAGAGATTCAGATTTTGACAACTGTCATCTGGTTTCTTTTTAGAAGTCAGTATGAAGGTTTTTAAACTAACATTTTTCCTGTCTCTATTATGGTTTTATTTTTTTTCCAATCCAGAAATCTCTAAGGGGTCTAGTCAACTACTGATTGAGACCAAGAGAACGATATAAAAGAGTGATTTTTTTTCTTTTGTGTTATCAGCTCCAGAACACCTTGGAATGTTGGTAATTAGATTGTTTTATAAATATTACATTACAAAACTATGAACATTACAAAAATCAGTTAGACTCCTTTGTAAGATGTGTGCGTTTAATTCCCCCTATGGGAATCTGTGAGGATAATGTGGGAATAAATATAGAAGAAGTAGGATAGTAAAAGACTGCCTCTCTGCAGTCAGATTTTTCCAGTAGTTACTATTATGTTTAAGCTGATAGTGATTGAAAAGGTTTTCTAATAACTCAACACCCAAATTGTTTTGTAATTAAAAAAAATGCATTTTAACATCCTCTCTTGTCACCTTGTATGAGTTTGCATTATGCATGTTACTGTGAAAGGAAAAATAAGGGTGGGGGGAATCTTTTTTCACACACAGTTTCCAGAAGGTTGACAGCTAGGTAAAATTGTATTAATTTACAGTGAAGACATTATTTGGGTTTTGGAAGGGAATGAATGCATGAAGACGGGCTGCTCTGGGAGTTTTAAAACTACGGTGTGATTCTGTAGATATCTGTGAAAGCTTTGACTCCTGCCCCCTTATTTGTTGTTTGTTTCAGTTCTGTACACAAGCGGGAAAGAAATTCTTCTTTTTATTTCTAAAATGAATTCCAGTCAGAGGTAGGCTAAAAGCACCATTCATTTAGATGAAAGATCCTGAAACTATCATGTTTGCAACCATTTGTCACAGTTTAAGTAGCAGTGCATA